AGAAAATACACACTCTTCTCTAGCGCACATGGAATATTCTCCAGAATAGATCACATCCTGGGTCACAAATCAGGTCTCAACTGGTACCAAAAGATTAGGATCATTCTTTACATATTTTCAGACCACAATGCTTTGAAACGAGAGCTCAACCACAAGAGGAAAGTTGGGAAGAACTCAAATACGTGGAGACTAAAAAGCATCCTACTAAAGAATGAATGGGTCAACCAGGAAATTAAAGAAGAATTTTTAAAAATTCATGGAAACAAATGAAAATGAAAACACAACTGTTCAAAAATCTTTGGGACACAGAAAAGGCAGTCCAGAGAGGAAAGTATATAGCAATACAAACCTTTCTCAAGAAACAAGAAAAATCTCAAGTACACAACCTAACCCTACACCTAAAGGAGCTGGAGAAAGAACAGCAAAGAAAGCCTGAAGAAAGTCAGAATGGTTAAAATTAACAAGTCAGGAAATGACAGATGTTGGCAAGGAAGCAGAGAAAGAGGAACCCTCCTACACTGTTGGTGGGAATGCAAGCTGGTGCAGCCACTATAGAAAACAGTATGGAGGTTCCTCCAAGAGTTGACAGTAGAGCTACTCTATGACCCAGTGATTGCACTACTGGGTATTTACCCTAAAGATACAAATGTAGTTATCCGAAGGGGCACATGCACCCCAATGTTTATAGTAGCAATGTCCACAATAGCCAAACTATGGAAAGAACCTAGATGTCCATCAACAGATGAATGGATAAAGAAGATGTGGTATATATATATATATGATGGAATATTATGCAGCCATCAAAAGAAACAAAATCTTGCCATTTGCAATGACATGGATGGGACTAGAGGGTATTATACTAAGCAAAATAAGTCAGTCAGAGAAAACAATTATCATATGATCTCTGTTAAGAGGAATTTGAGAGGCAGAGCAGGGGGTCATGGGGGTAGGGGGGTAAAAATGAAACAATATGGGATTGGGAGGGAGACAAACCATAAAAGACTCTTAATCTCTGGAAACAAACTGAGAGTTTCTGAGGGGTGGGAGGAGAGGGAGAGGGTGGCTGGGGTATGGACATTGTGGGGGGGTATGTGCTATGTATGGTGGGTGCTATGAATTGTGTAAGACTGATGATTCACAGACCTGTACCCCTGAAGAAAATAATACTTTATATATTAATTAAAAATTTTTGCTAATAGAGTCCCAGAAGAATAAGGGAAAGAGAGTGGGGTTAAACATATATTCAAAAAAATAATAGCTGAAATGTTCCTAAATTTGGCAAAAGATATAAACCTACAGATTTCAGAGGCTGAGTAAATCCCAAAAAGGGTAAACTCAAACAAATCCACACCAAAACACATCAAAATTAAATTTCTGAGAACTAAAGACAAAGTCTTGAAAGCAGTGATAGAGAAATGACAACCCACTTATAAAGGAAAAGAATTTGAATAACAGCAAATGTCTCAACACAAACCTCATCGCATGCAAAAAGGAAATGCAAAACATCTTTCAAATGCTAAAAATAAAAGGACTAGTAACCCAGAATTTTATATCCAGCAAAAATATCCTCTGGAACAAAGGGAAAAAAATCAAGACATTCTCAGAAGAGAGAAAATTTAAGATAACTTGTTACCAATAGATCTACTTTAAAAGAATGGCTAAAGAAAGTACTTAATCAGAAAGGAATTATGAAAGAAGGCTCCTTGGAACACCAGGAAGGAAGAACAAATGATTAAAGAGTAAAAATGTGAGTAAATACAATAGACATTTTCTTAAGTATTCTAAGTTAACGGTTTGAGAATTAAAGCAAAAATTCTGTCTGCCAAGGTTTTCAGTGTGTGTAGAGGAAATGTTTAAGACACTGTAAAATTATTGAAATGATGAGAGGGGCAGGTGAGTATGATTATAAAGGGGTAGTATGAGGGAGATCTTTGTGGTGATGGAATAGTTTTGTATCTTGATTATAAAGGTGGTTCCACAAATCTCAACGTGTAACGAAATGGCATTGAACAATGTACACACGTTTACCAATATCAAATTTTCTGGTTTCCAGATTGTGTTATGATTACATAAGATGTATCCATTGGGGGAAACTGGGTGAAGGATATGGGGGATCCATCTGCTATGTATCCATAGTACACAGAACATAACATCCTGTGGATCTACAATTATTCAAAATAAAAACTAATTTTAAAAAGACAAAGAAATTATAAGAAATTTTTTAAAAAGGAATACCTAATAAGTAAAAGCAAAATGAAACAAATCCAACTGTGCATTCAGTTAGTGGCACAACCACCTAGGGAACTCTTTCAAGTGACCTTAAAACACAGTAATTGGACTCTACATCCTTGATGGGCAATATGTTAAGGACAAAAGAAATTACAAAAAGGAGGAGGAGGAGGAGGAGAAGAAACCATTTTCAGTAATTTTATCATTGGAAGTCTCATTTTGTTCTGATACGCTGGTGTGTATGTTGTGGGGTAAAACAAATAAGTAATTATGTTAGCATCATTAAGAGCCAAGATTTTTTCAGTGTGGGAGAAAGGAGACAGACAATTAAGAGACTTAAGTAAAAACTGTGTAAAACTGAAATGAATGGGAAATATAGGTGTATTTTCTTTTTTCAGAAAAGAAATCATATTTCTTAGATCTGGTCCCTAAAAAGTCCTAGAAATAGCAACCAACCCAGGAACAATAAGCACCACCAGATTATGGTCTTTAAATAACATTTCCTACAAAAAGGCAAGAAGTTTTTTTTTAGAGAAATAGCGGGTTCCAGGTCTGGGCAGGAAGTGTATGAGATGAGCCTAAAACCTCCATCTTAATATTAGGATAGCAAGGTAGTTATCTGAAACGACTGGTATTCTTTCAAAACACCAACACTGGCCCAAACCCCTATTGGCCAAAGATGGGGCAATAGAAGCATCAATATGAGTAATAGCTACAATGGATTAAAATGTATCCGGTGTGTTTTAATCTATAAATCCATGCAGGTACTCAACAAAATAATAACTTTATTGATCACCTTTGGTGAATAGTAGGGAACCAACTCATTATTTTGAAAACTGGTAAATACATTATTTACAAAGTCAAATTATGGAAGCAGCCCAAATGCCCATGGATAGATGAATGGGTACAGAGGAAGTAGTATATATACACAATATTACACAATATTATTCAGCCATAAAAAGAATGATATCTTACCATTTGTAACAACATGGATGGGGCTACAGAGTACAATACTAAGTAAAAATAAGGCAATCAGAGAAAGACAAATGATTATCTCATTAATATGTGGAATTTAATAATCAAAACAAACAAGCAAAGAAAAAAAAAGAGAGAAAGAGAGAGAGACAAACCAAGAAACAGACTCTTAAATACAGAGAACAAATTGATGGTTAACAGAGGGGAGGTTGGGAGGGTGTGAAATAGGCGATAGGGGTTAAAGAGTACACTTATCATGATGAACAATAAAATAAAATAAACTGGTAAATAAAGGGGCAAAATTATTTATCCCACCTTTCATCGGGGAACTATACCTCACAATAACCAAAATTTTAATGAGGAGATGTTTCTCTGTATAGGTTACAGAGCTAATAAATGAAAAAATAGTGACAGCCCTTGAATTGAATGTCACCTTTTAGCAGTCCTTAATTGAATAAAGGATCTAGGCAACTATCAGCGAAGGCTGCTAACATCAGTAAGAGAGAGAACCAGGAAACATGAGCCTCATGATGCAAGTATACACCACCACTTAGGAGTTGTTCCTGCCCCCCCCCCCCCCCCGCAAAAAATTGCACTTGAATCTGCTTGGGTCTCTAGTCCTAACTACCAGTTCACAGGAATAACACTATGAGGATGCAATCAGAAAATCCAGACTCTGGGAAACCCTACAGTGCAAACAACCCAGTTTCTTCCACAAATAACAGGCAAGGGGGTGAGAGACAGATACACACACACACACACACACACACACACACACCAAGACCTACAGACTTAAAATGGCTTCAGAAACACATCAGCCAATTAACAATGTAGGGATCCTACTTGGATTCTGATTTCAGCTACTGGGGGAAATAAATGTTGAACAAATATTTGATTCAATTAATGTCTTATTATTAACTTGGAGCTTTGGTAGTTATTGTGGATGCATACTGAAAAACTTACAGAAGAAATAATTTGTTGCTTTGGATTACCTCAAAATAACCAAGGGTCGAGGAGGGACGTGGGAGGTGAGTGTAAGAAGACTGGCCATGAGTGGATCATTGTTGACACCAGGAGATTAGTACATGGACACTCATTTTACTATTCTCTCCACTTTTGTACGGGTTTGGAATTTTTCATAATAAAAAAAATTTTTAAATACACCCATAAACAGCCAGAAAACTGCATCCCTTTGGCTGCCTCCCTAATCTCCACCCACTGGTCTTTATTCTGTTCTCTGGCACCTAGAAGACTAGTGTCATAATAACGATAATAGTAATATCTACAATTACAGCCAGCATTTTTGGAGCACATACTGTGCACAAACTCATATGTCTTTTAGGAATATCTCCATTTAATCCTGATAAAGTCCTGAAGTAAATACTATAATTATTCCCATTTTCCAGGTGAGGAACCTGAAGGAGAGAGGTTGGATGAAGGAGCCAATCGTCAAACCCAGATCTGACCGCGGATTTCCGGTTTATAACCATTCAGCAAAGCAAAGGCAAAAGACAAAGACGGCTGTCGCGTCCTCGGTCTTCCCTTTTTGGGGCTAAATCCTGAGTTCTTTCACTCTGCCGCTGCCTCCTCCACCAAGTGGCTTCACTGCCCCACACCATCCCTGAGCCTCGTGCCAAGAGCTAGAAAAGTGCTTGAGCTTCTAGAGAGTAACCCAGGCCCGCGGAACAGCCTGCCCATCCCCAGCCACACCGCGGCGATTCCCGGGGGAAGTCCGGTCCTCCTCCATCCAGACTGGAAGCCAGAACATGCTCCCGTGCCAGGCTGGCGGGGCTCACCTGGGCCGCGGTGCCTCTTCTCCATCCAGATGTAGCAGTTGTTCTGAGCCACCCCGGTCTGCGAGTCCAGGAAGGGGAGGCGCACGCTGCGCTCTGCGCAGAGCCGCGAGTTGTAGCTGCGGCAGTGCTCGATGGCTTCCTTGTAGAACTGGTCCCCGAGCCTGCCCAGGAGAGGGAGAGAGGAGGACTGAGGCCAGGGAAAAATGGAAACACACCCAGAGGGAAACTGATGTTACCCACCTACCTCCCTGGGGACATTACAGAGTTATGAAGACCCAGGCGACTCAGACCGAGAGCCTTGCCAAGGGGCAGAATCCAGGCTGGTGTCAGGTCTCAACCAGGTTCTATTTCCCATACCAGATCCACCAGGCAATTTCGAATCCCTTTTAACAAAGAGCCTAGGGGGGCGCCCCGGTGGCTCAGTTGGTTGGGCGACTGCCTTCGGCTCAGGTCATGATCCCGGACTTCCAGGATCGAGTCCCGCATCCGGCTCCCAGCTCTTTGGGGAGTCTGCTTCTCCCTCTGACCTTCTCCTCTCTCATGCTCTCTCTCACTCATTCTCTCTCAAATAAATAAATAAAATCTTTAAAAAAAAAACAAAAACAAAAAACAAAGAGCCTAGGGCCCCTAGATAAACCACCCGGACAAGTGACAAGTCCCTGTTCCAGGAAATATGAAGTGCCGCTCCAGAATAGAAGGTTCTGGAACAATCTTCTACCTGGGTTTACCGGGAGCTCAGGCTTCTAGAGTCCCCTCATTCACATCCTCCCTTAGCCACACTTTGTTCTCAGTAATTGCTAGCAAAGGCACTCTAAAATGAACCCAAAACACCAGCATAGAAGCATGGCTTTCCAATACAATAGAAGAGAAACAACCATATAAACACAGACAAGAAAGACTGAGGAAACATCCCATAAAAGCAGAGCTGTTATGGTGAAAGGAGGTGACTAAACTACACGCTTAAAGAAAAACAACTGTCTAACTGAAAACAAAGGAAGCATTTGTAATAATAGTTGAATTTTTAATTCAAGATAATTTAATCCCTGGGGTCTAAAACACGAAGAGAAAGACCCTTCTGGTTTGTTGGAGTGGTGATGAGATTAAGCACAGTAAATTTTATGTTACCGAATCTTGGGTATCCTTGGACATGTGGTGATGCTACTAATTTTAAGATAGGCTCCTTTTCAAAGACCAAAAATATAACATTGATAAAACCGATTGAATGTAAAGAAAAAAAATCAGGGAGATCAAATATCTAACAAATAAAAGACAGGCACATGTTGAAGGTTAATAAATGTCTCAAGGAAATACAAATGTAATACCATAACCTCTGCCAGTAGACTTGCACTTCTTTGTGGGGAGCTGGGGGGGAGGGGGAGGCAGGAAGGGGAGGAGCCACAGGGATTGCTGGGCCAGAGAGGAGAATCAAGTAGCTCATTTTGAAGTGATATTATGAATGTCCTTTTGTTTTGGTTCTATGTAGATTTGAAGAAGCCAAAATCAGGGTGAGAAAGTCTCTAAGTTAAAAATAATGTATTTCTAGGGGCGCCTGGGTGGCTCGATGGGTTAAGCCTCTGCCTTTGGCTTGGGTCATGATCTTAGGGTCCTGGGATCGAGCCCCGCATCGGGCTCTCTGCTCAGCGGGGAGACTGCTTCCTTCCCTCTCTCTGCCTGCCTCTCTGCCTGCTAGTGATCTCTCTCTGTCAAATAAATAAATAAAATCTTTATAAAAAAATGTATTTCTTAAAAAAAAATTAAATAAATAAAAATGTATTTCTTAAACAAAATAGAGAACTAAAGAAAGCAAAATTTGAGAGGAATTTTTCTATACTCTTAAAAAGAAAAAAATCAGGTCAGAGTCTACCAAAGAGTTTAAACAAATTTCTTATTCTGGGAGGATACAACCATGAAAGCTACTGAGGCATCTTTTGGAAATTACTTATTGACATACCTCTTTAAAAAAAAAAAGTGCCCCTTGCTCCTTTTCCCCCTCTGAACATCTTCAGCCTCACGAGGAAGGCATAACGTGCTCAGAAAGTTGTCCTAGCAGTTGCAAAACCAAACTGTAATCAAATTATAATAGCCACACAGCTGGAAATGAATTGGGGGGATGGAAGCCCATTAAAATGCTATAAAACGGAACATGAGCTGATGTAATCAAAGATGGTAACAAGGATCATGAGATTGATCAAAAATAAAGAACCATTTCCTACAAAGCATTCACATCTGGGTCCCACCAGCTTCAATGCCTCCACTGATAACTCGACATAGCTCAGCACGACAGAACTTTCCCAGACAGTTTCCGCCCAGCCAAGATGACACCCAGCCCCATCCAGGGTGTCCTGCGTGCTCCAGCTCCTTCACGAAACAGCGACCAGCCACGCCACATTGATGAGAACTGACAAGAACACATAACAGAGAGGTGTCCAATGTGAGAAACAGTCATCTGGTTTCCCACGATGTTTTGGCAGATGGCCAAAATAGATTTAACTCTTCTAACCCCAGAAATTATGCTGAAGGAGAATCCATAAGCCAAGCAAATGGCACCCTAGAACTCAGGGACTGGAGAGAAGGTTTCCATCTTCAAAACAAACTCTGGAAGCCGGGATCAAAGAACACAACAGCGGCATCTCAAATTAGACTTAGACTTAGCGTCCTGAGACGCTCCTAACTTGCTTCCAATGGTCCCAAAGAGAGGAACAAGAAAGGGAAGCTGCTGAAAATGAAAAGTGAGTTTGACCAAGTTGGTGCCCCACACCAAATGAAACGAAAAAGTCAAACAAAGTGGTACACGGGGCGAAAATTAATTTCATCTTAAATACTTTCCACTTTCCATAACATGGAATGTTATGAGTAACAGGCGTGCTGGGTGGGGGGGGCAAATGTGTATTTTTAAACATAATCTTTGTGTGAACGATACCTCTCTTACATAAACAGAGAAACCCTTCTCCAGACTGGAACAACGGTATTAAAGATTGAACCTGCAAAAATGTGACATCCAACACCCTCCCTGCCCCTGTCTCCAGGGAAGTCACTTTTAAACAGACCAGGTGTTGGCAGCGACTCGGAAACAGAAGTTTAAAGCCTTTTTCAAGATACAAGAGGAGAAAAGAGACTTCAGCCTTTTTGATAAATTCAAGCAGCACCTCTCCAAAAGTTAATTAGCCAAAATCTTCACAGGGCTTGTTCTGTTCTCTAGAAGAAAATCGATGGCCAGGTCTCCCTAACCTGTGGAAAGCAATTTAAACAGGAGAGAGGACAAATGTCCTTTTCAATATGGGATATCTTTAAAAAAAAAAAAAAAAACCCACAATGATAGAGTCCCACGGGTGACATTTGCATTCAAGTTGCAAGGGGCAGAGAGAGCGGGGAAAGGCTGGCAGTGAATGACTCATTTTGTGGAGCAGAGACCAGCATGCCCCAGGCTGGGTCAGGCACAGCCCAGCCTCAGCCATCACCTGTCTGCATCAAACCAAGGGGGCTGGATTACCACGGGATGATAGATGTCTTGGGCTGGAAGAAGCTGGCACAAGGCAGAGTACAATGATGTTCTCATCAACAGCCTAGCTCAGGCTACCCATGGCTGCGATCAGAAGCAGAAAAGGCACAGGGGAACAAATTGCGGGGCTCTCTGCCAGAGCAGGAGCCCACCCCACCCCACATCCTTGTGGCCTGGCACAGCGCTGGCTGTCCTGTTCTGGGGGCACCGTGAGGGGTGAGATCCCTCAGCGATCAAATCTGGAGTAAGAAAGCCGTAGTTCTTAGAGCTTTCCACTGACCCTCCTTGAGCCTATCTGTGGAAAAAGGGATTCCGGGGAACCAAAGAGGATTTGAACGGGTATAAATAAGACTTCTCTGAAATGACTGCCAACTGGGCTCCAGATGTGCTTTTCAGAGCCCATCCCAGCCCCTCCAAGACCCTCTGCTCCTTTTTCTTCCTCATACTTCTACCTCTCTCTCTTAACACCTCGTCTATTCTCTTCAATTCCATATCCACTGCCCTGAGCTGATTCTCTGGTCCAACCCTCCCACCCAGACATCTGGGGCTCATCCCTCTTCCCCATCCCTCTGGTCCTGTGTTCTGACCCAAAAACAGGTGTCCTGCCATAGCCCAAACATGTGTCCAGAAGCAAATTCCTCATGTCCTGCCAGAAGCCTGCTCCCTCCCCAGAGTCTCCATTCTTCTGCTGGGGTGGGGGGTGAGACCCGAGAGAACACTGCTCCTGTATCTCCCCAGCAAGGTGTCCTTGACCCTTCCCTTTCCTTCATCCCATCTGGCATTGGAGTCTTTCATTTCTCAGGAAGTCTCCTCTTCTCTCCATCCCCACTGCATAGCCACCAGTCAGTCCCCTTTGACTGTAAAAACAGGACCTTGGCCCATCATTGCTATCTGCGCACATAAACAGAGATAAGCAGAGATAACAAGAAGACCTAGCCTGTGGCAGGCTCTCTGGCCCCTCCTTCCCCACCATGGGCCCCTTCTCTTCGTTGTGGGCACCTGGATTTCCTTCTGTCTCATCCAGCTGCCCACCATTCCACCACCGCCCACAAACGCACATTAAGTCTCATCGAACCCAATATGCTAACTTCCTCCTGTATACATTTAAATACATTTAACTCTAACTGCGCTGTGGAAAGCCGTCTCCCATTGACGCAGCACTTTATGATAACCTAGATAGTGGGGGGCAATATTTGGCCAGGCAGAAGAAGCTTTCCATTTTCCTCACAGTGACACTGTTCCTAGAGCTGCCCTTCAAAGAAAGCCAGGTGGGGAATTTGCTGTGGACTGAATTGTTTCGCCTGAAATTCATGAGTTGAAGCCCTAACCCCCCACCAAGTTCTCGTATTTGGAGATGGGCCTTTGGGAGGTAATTAGTTCATGAGGATAGAGCCCTTATGATGGGATTGGTGCCCCTATAAGAAGAGACGAGAAAGGGGCGCCTGGGTGGCTCAGTTGGTTAAGCATCTGCCTTCAGCTCGGGTCATGATTCCGGGGTCCTGGGATCGAGTCCCGCATCAGGCTCCCTGCTCAGCGGAGAGCCTGCTTCTCCTTCTCTCTCTGCCTGCTGCTCTGCCTACTTTACTGTCTCTCTGTTGAATAAATGCATAAAATCTTAAAAAAAAAAAAAAAAAAAGAGACGAGAAAATGACCAGCCTCTCT